CGAACATTTATTTATCACCCAAACGGCAACAGTCATAGAATATCGCCTCTCCCAAGTTGTTCTCAACCAATACCTAAAATGCAATAAGTATAAATAGAACAAATTGAAATACTACATATATATATATCTGAAAATTTGACGGCCTAAATCAACTTCCGGGGGATACTGGTTCAGATGAAAGTCCGACCTACAACCATCAGAGGAACCAAATTAATGCCTTAATGCATAAAAAAATGAACGTATGCAATTAAAGGCTTCAAAAGTTACAAGTTCCTTTAACACAGAGAAGGCAGTACAAGAATCGGGGAGAGGGGACAAGATCACAGGAAAAAAGAAGTTTGCGGCTACAAGTTGTGAACAAATATGATACAGTTACTATGTACGGAGATGCAGTTTTACAAGCTGTATATACCTTTGTGAAGGTTAAAGTACGGAGAAATATAGGATCAGAATCTCCAATGTGACAATATCTCTAGTCATTTATTACATGCGTACTTTCAGATGCAAAAATAAATTTACAACAGTACAGACTCATCCAACGAAGAACATATATTATAAGAGAAAAACGGCGTGCAGTCATTCCCACATAGTAAAGCACAATGAGGTTGGACGATCATGGAGTATGGGATTGGACAGCTTCCACAACAAAGCGTGCTTGGCCACAAAGTATACAAGGCTAATACGTGCTAAATCTAATGATGTCTTTGCACATCAAAATTGTGAAACGCGACAAGTATCACATGCCATCAACTAAAAATGTGGAGACAAGGAGCAATGCACATTACGGCTGAAGCATCAAAATGTTCATGTAGTATTCAGACACATGTGCTAACAAAAGAAACATAAATACAAAATTAGATAAAGATGTCGCAATTTGTGATTATTGCATATTTCTTGTATGACAGTTGAAGATGAATTTTTAGGTAAAACATTTGATAGCACCAAGAAGATGCACCATAAGAACTGCACAACAAATAAGTGAGGCAAAATGGCAATCACGGATCACCTGACATTCGACAAGTAATTTATAGAAACTAGTTTTCCCAAACGTTTATATTCTCAGATGCATGCACATACCCCGATCCACTTGCTCTCAATGCATATTTTCAGTGTCATTTTTACAACCCAGACCACTCCCTCCCACATGCAACAGATATTATAACTTGGAAGTGATTATATCACCAAAGGTGCTGATCATGGATGTTCTTCTCTTATGTTGACTGCTCATAATATTTTTTGAACTGAAACATCAGTTTCACAAAATGTGATTAAATACATTATCTATATTATGCTCAACATATGGAAGATATATCATTTTGAAACTTATTGACACATGGAACAGTAATTACATTGACATTTTAAGATGTTATCATATCAATGTCACCCATCGATACCTACTAGTAAGACGTTTTAGCAGGTTAACCCACTTGGCATGCCATAAACAAGACAAGATGAAATGAAACCTCAGTAGCTAGAGTGATTTCAGAGATTGATTTTGTATTCCTTAGTGATCATTCAATCAAAGATTGCATTGGTGGTCAGTATATAGAAGGGCTAGTGTGCCCTGCACATTTTTTTTCTGTTAGGAATGCAACAAGAACTGATAGTAAAATACTTTGGCTTGAGAAGATCAACGAGGTTTGGTGATAAGAAAACAAAGAATGACATACTCCCTCCGTCCAGAAAAGGATGCAACTATGGGTTGCGTGCCACTAAAAGCAGTTCACGTTTGACCAAGTTTCTAGTAAATAGCATTCGTATTTATGGCTCCAAATCAATTTATTATAAAAATACATTTCGTAATTAATCTAATGATATTTATTTGATATCGTAAATATTAATATTTCTTTATCTATAATTGGTCAAACTCGAGGTACTAAAACGTGATACTGTGCTAGAATTGCATTCTTTCTTGGACCTTGGACAGAGGGAGTACAAGCTAGAGCAGCAGTTTGTTACTCCAAAGGCAGAAAATTCAGTTTCTTTATACTCCCGTCTAGGGCATCTTGAATTATGTAAGCGGTGAACCTAAGCTAGCTTGTTACAGACTTACAGTAATTGTCTCTCTTTGATTTAATATGCATGACTGAATCACTGACGCTACCATAAGCAGAAGCAGTTTTACTTTTACCTTGTTTTCTACAAGGGCCTGTTTGGAAGCACAATATTCATTCCAAACCCTTGTAAATAACAGGGCCCAAAGATTTTCCGATCCAACTCAGAAATCGCTGCTTGGAAGTCTGGTGAGCCCACTAATTTTACATCTAGTTTGAGGCAAAACCAGGGGATAAAAAGAATGCCTGCCCAGGCCTGGAAATAAAACACAACAATCATTGGGATGTCGTCCTCTTCTGCAGCCTCGACTCGGTGCCACCAAGAGAACCTGATGGTTGCGGCGGCAGGTGAACCCTGGGGGCGGCAAGGAGACAATCCACAGGATGACGAGTGAATCCATGGCCAAGGCACACAAATCCGCGACCACAAATAACGAATCCATTTTGTACTTTTGTTCTTCTCCAATTGCTCTTGGTCAGAAAATCAATAGATCTAGCTTGTGAATATGAATCACACTATGGACAGGTACTAGATGAAGAATGGATAGTGCTTGCTAGAATCTGTCATCGCTGGCACAGGTCGCAGATCTAGAGACACTGAAACACAGGCCCCATGCTCGTAGTATTGAATCGATTCAAGAATAGTTGTTGCCTTGTCCGCTACCAGTATTTGCTGCGATCTAAACACACAGGACCAATTAGCATCTTGTCGATCTACTGGTTCTAGAATGCAACAATCTCTTGTGTGATGTACTGCAATCGTTTTTGGCTGCTTATATATGGTGTTGAAATTGATGTATTGTTTTCCCCTCAATCAACAGGGTCCATTGTAAAGTAGGTAGTAGCTAGTATAGAAAGAAAGAAAGCAGAAGATATGGAAAGGAAAAGGTAGAAATGGATAAGTAAAAAAGACCAGCATCAGCGGAGGATCACTGATGATCTTGTTATGAACTTCTAGTGGTAGATCATATAGAAGGAGGGATGCATGTCTATTTCTGGGCCAATTTTTGGATCGGACCATGGGGAGAGGCTGCTGGATGAGCTCGGAGAAGAATATTTTTGTATTCCACAATTCCTGCTGCAAGATTGGACCAATTTTTGGATCGATCCATGGGGAGAGGCTGCTGGATGAGCTCGGGGAAGAATATTTTTGTATTCCACAATTCTTGCTGCAAGATTATGAGATGTCAGCGTCCTTGCCATGCTATACTATAGAATATGACTGTTGTGCCTTCTGTGATTGTGAGATGCCCTGGCCTGTTGTTGTACTGTTGAGGAAGATTAGCTACTGGATAGTAAGTTGGTAACCTGTATGTGGGAGTGGCATGTTCCTAAGCTGAAAGCACAACTGATTTGTTCATGTTATCATGCATTGAAGTACCTAGCTACTGCGTGTAATCAATTTGATTTCCATAAACACATGTTTCTTTCCGTCAGGTCTTGATGTTTTGAATTTGTTTCTGAACTTCACAATTGATAGGAACCAAAGCAGAAGATTTCAGGCAATGGATGCAACCAGGATGACTTTACTATGTAGTGCCATTGGTAATGTGTAATTTTATTTACTTGCCTCTTATAGTTGTTGCATCGGTCTATTTTTAAAATTTCTAGCAGTTTCCTCTTAACAATAGTATTCAAGATGACTTTTCTTAAATATTACGGTATACTACTTGTTTAACAAGTAGGACTCCTATAGTTCAATATAGCATTCATTTTGTCTGTTTTGTTTTGGTATACAACATACTCAATTATGCTACCAGATTCTTATTTATGTACTATCCTTTAGTGAACTATGAATGCTGTAGATAGATTTAGCCAATAGAATGGAGCCAGCTAGTACTCTAACTATCATGGTTAATATGTTAAGAGTCAGTCAGTAAGTTAGAGTTGGCAGAAATTTCAGACACATTGCTTCTTCAGTTAGAGTAGGGATTGGAGCCAGCTGCAGTTCAGAAACACCAATTTGTGAGTGTAAGCGTTGAGTTCTTTGGTTGGAGGTAGCTAACATTGCTTTGTAAGTATCAGATGATGATAGCTCCATAGCAATGACTCAAGTCCAGTGAGCTATCTTTTAAACACTCTATATCTAGAAAATTGGGCAGAAACGGACTTTATCCACCATAAAAAGGATAGCAACATAGCAATAATTCAATTCGGATAAGCTATCATATGACACAGTAATTGTTTTTTGCTATATACTTTTTATTTTCAGAATATACTTAGTTTCACGACTCATGTTTTAGACGTTGCAAAGTATTTAATGTCCGAGGAGCACATGTCCATGCTCCTGTTTGATGCTTGGATAAAAAATATGATGACCTGATTTGAAAATTTTGATCTGTCATATGAGCCAATGCTTGGTATGATGTTGTTTGTGTTCTAGTTCGCCCGATCTATGCTAGGTCCAGCAAATGGTTCATTTTTCAAGCAGATGCTAACGCTGGCAGCCGGCAGACGTGAGCAGTGCACGACGTAGCTACAAGCGCAAACTTTGCTATCCAAACAGCATTTTTCAGGTGCAAAAGAAATCAATGGTATTCTTGTGGACAGAAAATTACAAGTGGAAGCTACTTATACAAGTGTAAAAAATCACAAAACAGCCAAACAGGACCTAATTGTTTCCTATTCCCAACCCATTGACAACATTAGGAATTCACATACATAACTACATAAGCATCATTGCCACCTACTTCTTTACTAATATAATTCTGGGAAAACTCTTGTCAGATTTACATTTAAAAAAAGCATAAATTCCAATGTAAAATCGCTTCTCTTGGAGACGCCATTATAATCCATAAACCCAGAAAAGAAAAAATGATCCTGCCCCACGTAGTTCAGGTGTAGCATACCAAACATTACCAAACCCAAATTATCTTAGGCTGCCAATTCCAGGAACGAATCTCACCGATCGAAGAGGCTAGCGAACGATCGCGTGGATTGGCGCCGTCACTGCGTCTTCCTCCGGGGTGGTTGCTTCTCGGAGGCCAGCTTGTACATCCAGAACACCTGCAGCCAGAGGGAAAAGCGGTGATAAGTCCGGATCTGAGCGGGATCAAATCGACAAAGCGTGTATCGTGTAGGCGCGGGGGGACGAAAAAGAAGAAGAAAAGCGAGTGGGAAGCGCACCAGGGCCAGGACGTGGGCCGCGAGGAGGATGACCACGAAGAGCGGCACGGCATCCAGGATGCCCGAGCCAGCGGTTGGCTGCGTCTGCTGCTGCGCCATCGTCGGCGGCGTCGGCGTTGGGGAGAGGTCGCTGATGACGGAGGTTTCTTCTAGTTTCTCTTCTTTGACTCCAAGCAAAAACCTCTTGTAACTCTGTGTATAGTACTCGTAGGAAATGTTAGAAATTTGTACACAAACATGTGGCTGTAGTTTAGTGGTAAGAATTCTACGTTGTGGCCGTAGAGACCTGGGCTCGAATCCCAGCAGCCACATTCTTCTTTTTTCTGTTACATTATATGTGCTTATCATCATTGTCACTTTATTTTTTAGTTTTTATTTTGTTTTCTTGGTTTCTGCTCTCGCAATCTTTTTTATATTTGTCGTTGTCACGTTATTTTTAATCTTTTTTATATTGCATTTTTTATATTTGTCGTTGTCACGTTATTTTTAATATTTTCTTTTGTTTTCTTCTTTATACTATTTCCTTTTTTTTCTTGTTATATGTTTGTCATTATTGTCACTTTATTTTTAGTTTTTATTTTGTTTTCTTGGTTTCTATTCTAACAATCTTTATTTAGGTATAAAATGTACTTTATGTAAACCGATATTTTAGGATAAAAGCAAATGACATGTCCTTGTGTTGGAATGAAACATACAATTATTACGCAGTCAGCTAGATGACTTAGAGCTCAGAGACTCGTCAGTTGTAATATGTCATAGAATTAGACTTCCTACCCTGACTGTACACACATTGTTCATAACATAATCTCATGCTAGATTTTGGATTGTGCTTGCTTTGGTTTGAAACATGGTCTGATATTAGATTTAGATTGGAAACATGTGAACAATAATAGCAGCTTCAATGGTGACTTATGAGCTATCTTTGAACATATTATTTCATATTCTAATAGAAGAGAGAGAAAAGTTATCTCTTGATCTTAAGAATAAGGGAAAATTGGTTCTGTAGCATCGAAAGGTTACGACCTTCGTAAAATACCACTGAAAGAGTTTGGCCCCGTAAACTAGCACTGAAAGTTGTCATCGTAAACTAAAAATAGCACTCCGTCAGGTTTTACACTCAGGAGCGTTAATTTGACCTAGACTCCAAAAGTTAAGTGACATTTTTGCCCTTGCCTTATCCTCATCCCTGTCCTCATACGGGAGCTGCGCCGCGCAAGTGAGACAGCCGCGCCGCGCTCGGTTCTACCTAGGAGCGCCGCCTCCGCCCGTCCGTCGGCCGCCTGGGAGCTCCGAGGGCCTCCTGCGCCGGCCGCCGCGGCTTCCTCTCCTCGCGCAGGTCGCTCCCCGTGTGGAGGCCGCGCCGGCCGCCGCGGGCTGGTACTCGCGTGGAGGCCGCGCCGCTGCGCCGTCCGCCGCAGGCCGCTCGTCGTGTGGAGGCCGCGCCGCCTCCGCTCGTCCGCCGGCCGCCTGGGAGCTCCGAGGCCTCCTACGCCGGCCGCCGTGGCTTCCTCTTCGCGCGCAGGCCGCTCCTCATGTGGAGGCCACGCCGTCCACCTGGGCGCTCGTCGTCACACGGAGGCCGCGCCGCCTGCGCCGTCCACCACCTCCTCCTCCTCGACTGCGTGTTGCGCCGGCTGTGACTCCTCCTCCAGTGCGCATGCGGTGGAATAATGCATCGATCTGAGATCCCCGACGGGTAAGAATGAAACCCTAGTTAAGAATTTCAGCTTTTCGGATTGGTGACATCATTCATTCAAGGGACAGATTCTTATAGTATTGCTAATTGAATTGAGGAGGTAGGAACTGGACATTTTGCTTGCTTTGGTTGGTTGAGCATGGGTTGTAGTGTCCAGTCTTCACACTTTTAAAGTAGATAGTTGTTTTGGGTTTTGCTTTGCATTTTTTGTTTGTTGGATTTATGAAATAGTTCATGTTTTAAGTTTTAGTTCTTAGGCTGTTAGGATGAAACACTGCGAACACATTGGTACATGTTGGAACTCTTTATCTTGAACGCTGGAAATTTTTCTTTAAAGAAGAAGTTTTAATGACATTGGACATCATGGTCATGTTGCATGGTCTCAGAAATGCATTGCTGGACCTAATCTTCTCTACCATATGTGTTTATTCTGAGTTATACTTGAAGTTAATAATAAAGTTGTTCCACTAATATTTTGAAAATGCACTTTTATGTCCTCTTAATACATATTTTGTCTCGCCAGTGGCCTTCTTTGGTGGAAGTTGCAGAAACTCGTCAACTCCCTCCTATGTTGATTGAAAGATATAACACAGCTGCCGGTGAAGGAACAGCTCTTTGCGGGATTTTTGCTGACATACATCGAGCCTGGGCAACAGTTGACAATTCATTTTTCGTCTGGTGTTTTGATAAATGGTAAACCACTAATACTTGTTTTCTTTTTCTTTTTTACATGTGTGATTGGCCTTAAACTGTTAAAAGGGAATACCCTTTATAACGAACTTGATTCTTACTTGGTACTCAGATTTATCTCGTTCTCAGTTCGTTGTTTCTGTGGTCGTGTTAGTTAGTCACAGCGCTGTTGTTTTGTAAAATTGTTTATACGAGCCCATTATTATATTCCCTTCCATTGTCTATTTTCATATTTGTTTTGAATCAAATGAATGTATGGTCTATAATGTGTTACTTCTGAACTTTTGGCCATGCTAAAATTATTTGTCAAACTGTACAGTGAGAATATTTTGTGGTGCATGGAAGCAGGGGTTGCCTTAGCACCCAGTTACCTCTGTCAAGCTTATTATTATCATGAAGTGATTCCCCTTTTAACATGTAGCGCATTTGGTCGGCGTTACCATCTAGTAGGTCCGAAGATAACATCATTGATTTGAGTTTATTAGATATAAACAGCAGAGTTGGGTTTAATAGAAGTTTTCAAGTGATTCCACTTTCTCGTAAGTGGTCTAATGATACCTTTTCCTCAATGGAGACATGCCATCCTTATTGCTTATATAATTGTTTTCTTTTTTTTTTCTATTTCCCAGGGATGGGCAGTGCCAAGAGCATAATGTCGATGAGCAAGCAATTTGTGCTGTTGGCCTTGCTAGGGCAAAGCCTGGGATTTTCATTGAAGCCATTCAATATCTTTTAGTTTTAGCAACTACTGTTGAGGTAAGGATGATTATGATTTCCCTTGGAATTGCAACGCACATGCATACCTTGAATGGCACTTGCTAATCCAATTGATATATGAAGACGAGCAAAATCTACAGTAATATATATTGCCTGCAAAATTCAATCGTTAAGTTAAAACACACTAAGCATTTGACACAATTTTTGGATAAAATTACTCTTCACAGTATCCATTTTCTGTTTCTTATACCTAGCACACCAGGACTAAAATTTACAGGATGCTGAATCAAATTGTATCAAGTGTTCAACACTGCAAGGAAGAGTGGACCATCGATCCTTTCAGGGCATGCTTAGTTTCCTTGCCTTGCTTGACCTAGCCTCAGTAGTGGCTGGGTAACGTAAAAAAGAGTCAAGATAATCAAATTCATTTCTTACCTACTAATCTTGCTGGGTAAGGTCTTGGCTAATGCAAGCGCCCACTTTGTCTACTATGACATTGAAGCTGTTCCAGATTTTCTTCCAAAAACCGTCTCTCCCTTAGACCTGCATTCCCCGGCCTTCCTTGCAGTGCCGGTCCTAGCTTTTTAAGGGCCCTCTAGTTATCTCGTCGCAACGGCCTCTCTTAACTATGTATAAAATCTTATAATATATATGTACTAATTTTACTTGTAAAACGAAAGCAAATTCAATAACATATTTTTAATTTAACATGTCTAATAATTATCGAAGAACAATGTAGATTAAGCAATATATTTGTAGATGTATGATAATTATCGAGAAACAATGTAGATTAAAAAACAATATATTCGTTTTCTTTTCTCACCCATGACAAATGTTTCTTAGCTAACATTCTAAAATTCTAACAGCTAAATTAGAAAAAAATGACTATATGGTTACAAAGTACTAGAAGTCCGGAATACTATACAAATAATTAATTTGGATTAAAAATAAAAAAGGAAAAAATACCTTAGGCCTAAATAACTTATCGGTGATCGCAATTCGTAAGAAGTCAAGAATCAAGATGTCATCGTCGTGGAGCCCTACCTAGTCGCCGTCCTCGTGCGTCGTGTCCGTGTCTCCGGTAGTCTAGCTCTTCGCGGTGGCGCGGCTCGCCAGCTCCGCGTGTGTAAGGCGCACGTCGTGAGCTCACGATCAGAGTGTGTTGTGTGCAGCGTGACTCCTCGCCTCCTCTCTATCCGAGGGCCGTGGGGAAAGGAAACTAGTAAAGAAATGACGATGTTATCTTTTTGGGCCGCCTGGCCAGTTCTATGTCTCTCTTCTCGTTAGTTTGCTAATGCCTAATGGACTATAGGACCTGGGGGTTTGTATATCTGGGCTTGGGCCCTTCTTTGCTTGGGCTCTCGGCCATCGCACCTCGTGCCCTACCCCTGGGGCCGGCACTGCTTCCTCGATGTGCTTCCCTTGCCATAACAGATTGGTGCACCTTACCATGTCAGGTCGGATCTGATCTGACATACTGCTGTCCGAGACCATAAGCCCAGCTGACTGCCCATGATAGAAGATGTAATTAAATCTCAACACATCAGTATATCATCAAAGGATAAAATGAGATCTGTACCACAGAATCGATTTCTTTTTTTTCATATGCAAAATGATTTGATTACATTGTTGTTGAACCTCTACTTCTTCTGAGCCCCCTACTGAACTTGCTGTTGAACCTAGGTAAGTTGAACTTCAAGTTTCATATTTTAGCTGAATTACCCTACATGCAAAATGACTTGATTACATTGCTGTTATGTAGGAAAAGAAATGGAGGAGATGGTACTTCAAAGAATGATACAGGAATAACCTCTACTTCTTTAGTCACTCAATCACCTGGTACAGCTACAGCTAGCCCCTCTACTTCCTTAGCCATCCAAGCACCAGTTAGTCCAGGACCAACAACAAGAAGGATGGCAGCTTCTGTTTCTACACCAACAAGACCACCAGGCACACCAGTGAGTCCAGGGCCAATAACAAGATGAATGGCAGCACA